CCCTAGAGACCCGGGTGTGGCCCTAGAGAGCCCCATGTGACTCTGGGGACCCGGATGTGGCCCTGGGATCCCGTATTTGGCCCTGGAGACCCAGAGTGACCCTGGAGACCCGGATGGTGCCCTGGAGACCCAGATGTGGCCATGGAGAGAACCCTAGAGACCTGGATGTGGCCCTGAGCATCCGGATGTGGCCCTGGAGACCCGGATGTGGCCCTGGAACCTGGGTGAAGCCCAGAGATCCGGATGGTGCCTAGAGACATGGATGGAGCCCAGAGAGTGAGATAGAGCCTTAGGGGCTCGGATGGAGCCCAGAGACCCGGATGGAGCCCAGAGATATGGATGGAGCCCAGAGACTCGAATGGTGTCCAGAGAGTGAGATAGAGCCTTATGGCTCGGATGGAGCCCAGAGACCCGGATGGAGCCCAGAAACCCGGATGGAGGCTTAGGGACTGGATGGAGCCTTAGGGACCCGGATGGAATCTTAGGGACTCGGATGGAACCCAGAGACTCGGATGGAGCCTTAGGGACCCCGATGGAGCATTAGGGACTCAGAAGGAGCCCAGAGACCAGGATGGAGCCCAGAGACCCGGATGGAGCCTTAGGGACCCTGATGGAGCCCAGAGACCTGGATGGAGCCCAGAGACCCGGATGGAGCCCAGAGACCCGGATGGAGCCCAGAGACCCGGATGGAGCCTTAGGGACCCCGATGGAGTCTTAGGGATCCGGATGGAGCCCAGAGACTCGGATGGAGCCCAGAGACCTGGATGGAGCCTTAGGAACCTGGATGGAGCCCAGAGATCCAGATGGAGCCCATAGACTTGGATGGAGCCTTAGGAACCTGGATGGAGCCCAGAGACCTGGATGGAGCCCAGAGACCCGGATGGAGCCCAGAGACCTGGATGGAGCCCAGAGACCCGGATGGAGCCCAGAGACCTGGATGGAGCCTTAGGAACCTGGATGGAGCCCAGAGATCCAGATGGAGCCCAGAGATATGGATGGAGCCCAGAGACTCGAATGGTGTCCAGAGAGTGAGATAGAGCCTTATGGCTCGGATGGAGCCCAGAGACCCAGATGGAGCCCAGAGACCCGGATGGAGGCTTAGGGACTGGATGGAGCCTTAGGGACCCGGATGGAATCTTAGGGACTCGGATGGAACCTAGAGACTCGGATGGAGCCTTAGGGACCCCGATGGAGCATTAGGGACCCAGAAGGAGCCCAGAGACCAGGATGGAGCCCAGAGACCCGGATGGAGCCTTAGGGACCCTGATGGAGCCCAGAGACCTGGATGGAGCCCAGAGACCCGGATGGAGCCCAGAGACCCGGATGGAGCCTTAGGGACCCCGATGGAGCCTTAGGGACCCCGATGGAGTCTTAGGGTTCCGGATGGAGCCCAGAGACTCGGATGGAACCCAGAGACCTGGATGGAGCCTTAGGAACCTGGATGGAGCCCAGAGATCCAGATGGAGCCCAGAGACCTGGATGGAGCCCAGAGACCCGGATGGAGCTCAGAGACCTGGATGGAGCCTTAGGAACCTGGATGGAGCCCAGAGATCCAGATGGAGCCCAGAGACTTGGATGGAGCCCAGAGACCCGGATGGAGCCGAGATATCTATGGAGTCCAGAGACTCGGATGGTGTCCAGAGAGTGAGATAGAGCCTTATGGCTCAGATGGAGCCCAGAGACTTGGAGGGAGCCCAGAGACCCGGATGGAGCCCAGAGACCCGGATGGAGGCTTAGGGACTGGATGGAGCCTTAGGGACCCGGATGGAATCTTAGGGACTCGGATGGAACCCAGAGACCCGGATGGAGCCTTAGGGACCCCGATGGAGCATTAGGGACCCGGATGGAGCACGGAGACCCGGATGGAGCCCAGAGACCCGGATGGAGCCTTAGGGACCTTGATGGAGTCTTAGGGACCTGGATGGAGCCCAGAGACTTGGATGGAGCCTTAGGAACCTGGATGGAGCCCAGAGACCTGATAGAGCCCAGATATCTGGATGGAGCCTTAGGGACCCAGATGGAGCTGAGAGACCTGATGGAGCCTTAGGAATCCGGATGGAGCCCAGAGACTTGGATGGAGCCCAGAGATTGAGATAGAGCATTAGGGGCTCGGATGGAGCCCAGAGACCCGGATGGAGTCTTAGGAACCTGGATGGAGCTCAGAGATACGGATGGAGCCCAGAGACTCTGATGGAACCCAGAGACTTGGATAAAGCCTTAGAGACCTGGATGGAGCCCTGGAGACCCGGATATGGCCCTAGGGACCTGGATGTGGCCCTGGGACCCGGGTGTGGACGTGGGGACCCGAATGTGGCCCTGGGAGAACTGGATGTGGCCCTGGGGACCTGATGTGGACCTGGATGGAGCCCTGGGAGACCCCGATGTGGCCTTGGCAACCCGGATGTGGACCTGGGGGACCCGGATGGAGCCCTGGGAGACCCAGATGTGGCCCTAGAGACCCGGGTGTGGCCCTGGAGACCCCCATGTGACTCTAAGGACCCGGATGTGGCCCTGGGAGCCCGTATGTGGCCCTGGAGATCCGGATGTGACCCCGGAGACCTGGATGGCGCCATAGAGAGCCGGATGTAGTGATGGAGACCTGGATGTGGCCCTGGAGAGAGCCCTAGAGACCCGGATGTGGCCCTGATCATGCTGATGTGGCCCTGGAGACCCAGATGTTCCTGGAGACCTGGATGGAGCCCTGGAGACCTGGATGTGGCCCTAGACCCGGATGTGGCCCTGGAGAACCGGTAATGGCCCGAGACACCTGGATGTGGCCCTGGGGACCCCGATATGTCCCTTGGGGAACCGGATGTGGCCCTGGGTCCCGTATGTGGAGCCCTGGGAGACCCGATGTGGCCCTGGAGACCCGGATGGAGCTCAGAGACCCGGATGGAGCCCAGAGACTCGGATTGAGCCAAGAGACCGGATAGAGCCTTAAGGACTCGGATGGAGCCCAGAGACCCGGATGGAGCCTTAGGGACCCCGATGGAGTCTTAGGGACCTGGATGGAGCCCAGAGACCCAGGTGGAGCCCAGAGTCCCAGATGGAGCCCAGAGATCCGGATGGAGCCTTAGGGACCCGGATGGAGCCCAGAGACCCGGATGGAGCCCAGAGACCAGGATGGAGCCCTAGGGACCCAGATGGAGCTCAGAGATATGGATGGAGCCCAGAGACCCGGATGGACCCCACAGACTCACATTGAGCCCAAAGACCCGGATGGAGCCTTATGGACCTGGATGGAGCCTTATGGACCCAGATGGAGCCCAGAGTCTCGGAAGAGCCTTAGGGAACTGGATGGAGCCTTAGGGACCCGGATGGAGCCTTAGGAACCCGGATGGAGCCCAGAGACTTGGATGGAGCCCAGAGACCTGGATGGAGCCCAGAGACCCGGATGGATCCTTAGGGACTTGGATGGAGTCTTAGGGAATTGGATGGAGCCCAGAGACTCGGATGGAGCCAGGAGTCCCGGATGGATCCTTAGGGACCCAGATGGAGCCCAGAGATATGGATGGAGCCCAGAGACCTGGATGGAGCCCAGAGACCTGTATGGAGCCCAGAGACTCGGATGGAGCCAGGAGTCCCGGATCGATCCTTAGGGACCTGGATGGAGCCCAAAGACCCGGATGGAGCCCAGAGACTCTAATGGAGCCCAGAGACTCAGATGGAGCCTTAAGGACCTGGATGGAGCCCAGAGACCCGCATGGAGCCTTAGGGATGCGGATGGAGCCTTAGGGACGCAGATGGAGCCCAGAGACTCGGGCAGAGCCCCGAGACCAGGATGGAGCCCAGAGACCCGTATGGAGCCCAGAGACTCAGATGGAGCCAGGAGTCCCGGTTGGATCCTTAGGGACCTGGATGGAGCCCAAAGACCCGCATGGAGCCTTAGGGATGCGGATGGAGCCTTAGGGACCCGAATGGAGCCCAGAGACTCGGGCAGAGCCCCGAGACCAGGATGGAGCCCAGAGACCAGGATGGAGCCTTAGGGACCCGGATGTAGCTCAGAGACCTGGAGAGAGCCCAGAGACCCTGGGTGGAGCCCTGGGACCCAGATATGGCCCTGGAGGGAGCCCTGGAGATCCGGATGTGGCCCTGGAGACCCTGGTGTGGCCCTGGAGACCCTGGTGTGGCCCTGGAGACCCGGATGGAGCCCTGGGGAACCGGATGTGGCCCTGGAGACCCGGATGTGGCCCTGGGGACCTGGATGTGGCCCTGGAGATCGGGGTGGAGCCCAGAGACTCGGATGGAGCCCAGAGACTGGATGCAGCCTTAGGGACACGGTTGGAGCCCCGAAACCCGGATGGAGCCCAGAGACCCGGATGTGGTCCAGAGACCTGGATGGAGCCCAGAGACCTGGATGGAGCCTTAAGGACTCGGAAGAAACCTTAAGGACCCGGATGTAGCCTTAGTGACCCTGAAGGAGCACAGAGACCCGGATGGAGCCTTAGGGACCAGGATGTTTCCTTAGGGACCCAGATGGAGCCCAGAGATACAGATGGAGACCAGAGACCCCGATGGAGCCCAGAGACCTGTATGGAGCCCAGAGACTCGGATGGAGCCAGGAGTCCCGGATGGAGCCCAGAGACCCGGATGGAGCCCTTAGGGACCCAGATGGAGCCCAGAGACCGGATGGAGCACTTAGACCCGGATGTGGCCCTGGGGACCAGGATGTGCCCCTGGGGACCTGGATGTGTCACTGCGGACATGAGTGGAGCCCTGGGGAGCCGGATATTGCCCTGGAGACCCGGATGTGGCCATGGGGACCCGGATGTGGCCCTGGGATCCTGGTGGAGTGTGACTGGCTGCCAGTGGAGTCGGGGAGAACCCCCCCAGTGTCACTCAGGGCTGATTGACAGCCACCAGATGACAGAGCCCACCCCCTTGTCAGTGAACGGTGACTGACAGTGCAGGGAGACCCGGAGGTAGCCCCTGGGTTCCTCCACCAGCTCGCTCTGTCTTTTGACGGAACAATAAAAATCGTTTAAAATAAACGACTGGGACTGTGCCTGGGATGAGTTTATTCCATGAACAGGAAGCAGAGAAAGCTGGGGACGGCCGATTCTAGAATGTTCCGAAGCTTTCTAGAAATTCTGGAACAATCCAGACCATCTTGGATCAATCCAGAATGCTCTAGAATGTTCCGGAGCATACTAGCGCGTTCGCAGGTGGGAGGAGATGGTGAGGCGATCAGGGGAGGAATCATTGTGCAGGAGGGGCGGTTCTGGAATGGTCTAGAACGTTCTGGCACCTTCTCCAAGGGAGGCGTCCTCAGGGTGGACAGGTGTCTGTTGGAGAGAGAGGAAAGCCGAGTCAGCGCCGAGTCAGCGCCGAGTCAGCCCGGAAGCCGCCGAAGCCTCACCTGTGTCGCCCACACGCCGGATGTACTTCCGCGGGATCCCATTCTGCTCCGTGAGCCTCGCGTAGTCCTCCAGCCGGTCGTCATTTATGACTCTCAATTTGACTGTGGCAAGAGTGGGTGCCGACTGAGTACGCTTGCTTTAGTGTGAGCCTACTGCATACACTCACTTTAGTGGCTGTATACGCTCACCCCATCTAGCGAGCGCCAACTGTATATGCTAGCGTTAGTGGGCACCGACTGTATATGCCCACCATGTCTAGTGGGCACTGACTGTATACACTCGCTTTATCCAGTGGGCACCGACTGTATCCCCCCTTTCCCTGTATACAGTCGGGCTCAGACTCTCGGGTCGTGGTGCGTATCCCTAGCGGGCACCGGCAGTGTACATGTGTGTGTGAGGGGGGCTCACCCACAAGGAAGCTGAGGCGGCTGGTGGTGCCGCTGGACCCCATTTTATTGATGAAGACGAAGAGCCTAGCGGGATCCAATTCGTGGAACTGGAAGGAGGTCTGGCCCTCGACTGTAGGGAGAGAGGTGGGTGTTCTGGATGTGCCGGGGCATGCTGGGACATTCTAGCGCATTCTGGAACATTCTAGAACATTGAGGAACTGGAGCATTCTGGGACATTTGCAGCATCCTGGAACATTTCTGGGAACATTCTCGAACATTCTGGAACACACCGGACATTCCCTGGGGTCGTCTGGAATTGTCTGGAACTTTCCGAAATGCTCTGTACTCACAGTCAGTGGTGTAGATGCCGTCTGCGTTCTTCTGGGCCACAACCGTGTGCGGGGTGCATACCTCGTTCTTCCTGAAGGAGAGACCGGGAACATGGCCGCTCGCTGTGGGCTCAACTGCTCCTGTCTGCTCTCCCTCTGGGCTCGCCTGGTCCACCATGGCCTGCTCTTTGACTCTGGGATCGGCTGGTCCTGTCTGCTCACTCTTAGCTCCATTACTCCCCTCTAGCCCACCTGCTCTCTGACTCTGGGCTCAACTGCTCCTGTCTACTCTTTCTCTGGGCTCGGCTGGTCCACCATGGCCTGCTCTTTGACTCTGGGATCGGCTGGTCCTGTCTGCTCACTCTCAGCTCCATTACTCCCCTCTAGCCCACCTGCTCTCTGACTCTGGGCTCAACTACTCCTGTCTGCTCACTCTCCCTGGGCTCGGCTGGTCCCCCCTAGCTTGCTCTTTGTCTCTGGGCTCAACTACTCCTGTCTGCTCACTCTCAGCTCCATTACTCCCCTCTAGCCCACATGCTCTCTGACTCTGGGCTCAACTACTCCTGTCTGCTATCTCTCTCTCTGGGCTCGGCTGGTCGCCCAGGCCTGCTCTGTCTCTCTCTCTGGGATCGCTTGGGCTTGGCGGCGCCTGTCTTCCCCGCTCTCTGGGCTCGATTGCTCCCCCCTGGCTCTCTGTCTCTGGCCTCGGCTTGTCTCCCCTGGCCCCGCCCCTCACTTGACATAGAAGAAGACGTTCAGGGCGTTGCAGTCCTCGTTGCACTCCATCTCGCGGAACAGCATCCGGAGTGGCCCATCCTCCAGGATCATTTCCAGGTTGTCGGAGGCCATGGCGGAGGTGCGCCAGGGCCCGGAGAGCTGGGGAGTGTAGGACCCCAAAAGCGGTGTCCTCTTGTGACGACCCCAGAAACACAGACTCCAGACCAGACGATGCAATAGAGCAGGAGGTAATTTTTATTTCATTTGCGCAAATGGGCCCCCTACTGCTGCAAGCAGCAAGCAAGCGAGAGGAGCCCCGAGCAGCTATCTCACACAGCTTTTAAGGGGCAAAACCACAAAATTAACATACCATAGGGTGGCGTAAGTTTATTGGGTAACTACAAGGGGAGGAGGTCGTCGAGGAGGAGGAGAGAACAGAAACCGGGGCTACGTGCCCTACGTGTCTAAGCTTGGACAAGGGGAGGGGGTCCTTGAAGAGCAGAAAGGGGTGGCTACGTGCCCTACGTGTCTCGCGGTTTCTTTGTTAAGCTTGAACAAGCACAGGGGAGGGGGCTTATGTGCATACCAGGATGTTCTGTCGCCCTTATCTCTGGCTAGTAGCCCTTATCTCTGGCTAGTAGCTATCTGCTTTCTCTGTGAACTTAGTTTACTCCCCATTTCCCAGGACTGTTTTATTAAGGCCATTTTATGGCGGCTCTCGGCCGCTCCTTTCAGGGAGGTGAAGAAATGACGCGCATTAATGATACGGCTGAAGAAACAACGCAAAGTAGTGATGCGAATTAGTGATGCGAAGTAATGATGTGAAGAAATGATATGAATTCATGACGAGAATTAATACTGGGAACTAATGATGCAAATTTATGATACCTGGGCAGGGTCGATGTCCGCACAGGCCACGCCCACCGTGAGGGCGAGGAGGAGAGCCTTCGTCACCGTCATCTTCATCACCATCGTCTTCGTTGTCGTCTGAGCCGGCGGGGACCCGGCGTCTATTTATTGCCAGGGCTGGGGGAGGAGTTGGCGGGGCCGAAGGTTGTGCAAACATCCTGGTGGACACCAGGGACGTTCCGGAACGGTCAGTGCTCCCAGGGAATTCTGGGAGAGTCTGTCGTGCGTTCTTGGGCCTTGGAATTTTCCAGAACCCCTGGTGGGTGTTTCCAGGATTCCAGAATGTTCTAGAATGCCCAGGGAATGTCCTTGGAATCGCGAGGAATTCTGTGGAATGTTCCAGAATGTTCCAGAACACGTCCAGAGAGCCCGGCGCACGTCCTCGGGGCCTTAGAGTATTCTAGAGCGCCTGGTCTTGGAGTGTTCCGGAATACTGGCGGATGACGTAGAATTTTCTAGAATGTTCGTAGGATGCCCTGGACCGCTTGGTGAGTGTCTTTGGGGTCTTGAAATGTTGTAGAATGTTCCAGTATGTTCCAGAGAACCCAGCGAGCGTCCTGGGGGGTCTGAGACCCTCTGCCGACGTGCTGGAAGTTTCCGCAGCCCCGGTGGGCGCGGGATGTCACGTCAATGTCCGCAGGGCCAGGCCGGCACCAGGACACCCGTCACACCCAGCCGGGAAACTTCTACTCAGACCCGTATCCCAGAATCCCCCCAGACTCACTTGGTGATGTTCTGGTACATTCTAGAACACCTCGGAAAAATTCTAGGGATCCCGGAACATTCTAGAACGTCCTAGAATGTTCCAGAACCGGGATTTTTTTAGCTTTTTTCGTGCCCAGGCACCCAGACGTGACCTTGAGAGCTCCAGGGAGGTCACTCTAGTTTCTGTCTCTCGATGGGAAAAACCGACTTGACCGGTTCTGCGTTGTGTAATCCTTTAACCTGGTTTTCTGCTCCACTCACTCCATGGCTCAGGCTGGCTCTTCTCTCAGGGAGAGGAGGGTCATCAACGTGGCGTGTAGAGCACGTTGGACAAGGCAGATTCATAACTACAAAGTTTGCTCATCTTCTAATACCAAGACCCCCAATATCTCAGTTATTTTTTTATTTTTTTTTTTGACAGGCAGTCAGATCCATCGGAAATGCCTTGAAAACATGGTCGTGTATAGACACGTTTGCTTCTTGAAAGGGTTTGCAGCTTCGTCGTCAGTACTGTCTCCTCAGTGACTTTAGAGCAGGAGAGAACAGGACACAGCGGACACTCTGAACAGCAACTTCAGTGAGTGAGTGATGAAGTGCCCAGACGAGGGAGGCGCAGTGGGTGACACGTCGATTCAGAAACGAGAGCAACTAGCCTGGGATTACCATGAGTGTGTTGGCAGAAGAATTAAAACTTGAAATAAGACTCCCGAAACGTACGCGCGGTCTTCACCACCTTGAACGAGTCTTGGTTTTTGCTGATAGGCTCTTTTTTTTTTTGACAGGCAGGACTGGACAGTGAGAGAGAGACAGAGAGAAAGGTCTTCCTTTGCCGTTGGTTCACCCTCCAATGGCCGCCGCGGCCGGCGCACCGCGCTGATGCAATGGCAGGGGCCAGGTACTTCTCCTGGTCTCCCATGGGGTGCAGGGCCCAGGCACTTGGGCCATCCTCCACTGCACTCCCGGGCCACAGCAGAGAGCTGGCCTGGAAGAGGGGCAACCGGGACAGAATCCGGTGCCCTGACCGGGACTAAAACCCGGTGTGCTGGCGTCGCAGGTGGAGGATTAGCCTGGTGAGCCGCGGCGCCGGCTTGTATGATTATTTTCATAAACTGTGCTTTGAACAGGGACACAAGTGATTGAGCACAAGCCATGCAGTGTCCTCTGAGCCACTCAGTGATAGCTGAGGGTCTCCGTCCTTTATAGACTTCAAGTTGTGAGCCAGGGGTTAGTGTCTGAAGGCACGCTACATGAAGAGGTAGGGAGAGATCACCTGTTGTGGGCCACTTTGTAAACCATCTTGAATGTCACACACTTGCCATCTGACCAGATGTGTGCACTGTCTGTTCTTCCCTAGTTTCTGCACCCAGCTGGACTTTCACATTCAGATATGGCGGAGAAACCACTCCCTTAGGATCCACTGAGTGCCCCTGACTGGATCAGGAACTGTCGCAGAGTGACAGGTTCTGGGTCAGTCAGGGGCAGGCAGGAGAGCTAAGGACTTGGGGTTCCTGCCGCAGACTGACAGGTTCCCGGTCCTGTCAGGGGCAGGCAGGGGAGCCAAAGACAGCGTTTCTGGCCCTAGACTGGCAAGCTACCAGTCCCATCAGCGGCAGGCAGGGGAGACAAGGAGGTGGGGTTCTGGCCCCAGACTGACAGGTTCCCAGTTCCATCAAGGGCCGGCAGGGGATCCAAGAGGTGGGGTTGTAGTCCTCGACTGTCAGGTTCTCAGGCCAGAAAGAGGCAGTCAGGGGAGCCAAGGAGGTGGGGTTCTGGCCGCAGAATGACAGGCTCTGGTTCCAGTCAGGGGCAGGCAGGGTAGTGTAAGAGGATGGTGTTCCTGCCACAGACATACAAGTTCCCTGTCTAGTCAGGGACAAGCCGGGGAGCTAAGCATGTGGGGTTCTGGCCGCACATGGACAGGTGCCCGGTCCATATGGCCAGGCAGGGAAGCTAAGGTGTTCTGGCTAAGGTTCTGGCAGCAGCATGACAGGTTCCTGGTCCCATCGCGGGCAGTCAGGGGAGCCAAGGAGGTTGGTTCTGGCCACAGACTGACAGGTTCAGGTCTATCAGGGGCAGGCAGGGGAGCTGAGGACATGGGGATCTGGCCACAGGCTGACAGGTTCCCGTTGCTGTCAGGGGAGCCCAATGAGGTGGGGTTCTGGCTACAGAGTGACAGGTTCCTGGCCCCCTCAGGGAAAGTCAGGGGAGCCACGCAGGTTAGGCTCTGGTCGAGACTGACAGGTTCCGAGTCCCGTCACAGGTAGGCAGGGGAGCCTAAGGAAGCGGGGTTCTGGCAACTGGTGACAGTTGCAGGTCCATCAAGGGTAGGGAGGGGTGCTGATGGGGTGGGGTTCTGGCTGCAGACTCACAAGTTCCTGGTCCAGTCAGGGGCGGGCAGCGTAGCCTACGGAGGTGGGGTTCTGGCCACAGAATGACGACAGGTCTCTGGTCCCATCAGGAGTAGGCAGGGAGCTAAGGACATGGGGTTCCTTCCGCAGACTGACTGACAGATTCCAGGTCCAGTCAGGGGCAGGCAGGGGAGCTAAGGGGTGGAGTTCTGGCCACAGACTGCCAGGTTCCTGGTCCAGTCAGGGACAGTCAGAGGAGCCAAGGAGGTGGGGTTCTGGCCACAGACTGACAGGTTCTCGGTCCAGTCAGGGACAGTCAGAGGAGCCAAGGAAGGTGGGGTTCTGGCCACAGACTGACAGGTTCCTGGTCTAGTCAGGGGCAGGCCTGGGAGCTAAGGGGTGCAGTTCTGTCCGCAGACTGAAAGGATCCCAGTCCCATCAGGGGGACTCACTGGAGCCTCAAGGGTTGGGGTTCTGGCTGCAGACTGACGGGTTCCCGGTCCCATCAGTGGCAGTCAGGGGAGCCAAGGAGGGTGGTTCTGGCCTCAGAGTGACACGTTTTGGTCCAGTGACGCCAGGAAGGGGAGTTAGCTACGTGTGGTTCTGGCCACAGACTGACAGATTCCTGGTCCGGTATGGTCAGGCAAGGGAGCTAAGGGGGTGGAGTTTTGGCCGCAGACTGACTGGTGCCCGGTCCTGTCAGGAGCACTCAGCAGAGACTAGAGGTGGGGTTCTGGCTGCAGACTGACAGGTTCCTGCTCCAGTTAGGGGCAAGTCAGGGGAGCAAAGAAGTTAGGGTTCTAGTGGCAGACTGACACATTCCGGGTCCATCTGGGGCGGGAAATGAGCCCAGGAGCTGGGCTTCTAGCCGCAGACTTACAGGTACTGGGTCCAACAGAGGCAGGCAGTGGAGCTAAGGATGTGGGGTTCTGGCTGCACACTGACAGGTTCCCGGTCCAGTCAGGGGCAGGAAGGGCAGCTAGGGACATGGGGTTCTGGCCGCAACTGACAGGTTCCCAGTCCCGTCAAGGGCAGGCAGGGGAGCCAAAGTGGGTGGGGTTCTGGCCACAGACTCACGGGTTCCATTTCCAACAGGGGTAGGCAGTGGAGCTAAGGATGTGGGGTTTGGCTGCACACTGACAGGTTCCTGGTCCAGTCAGGGGCAATAAGGGGAGCTAAGGACATGAAGTCTGCAT